CGGTACTAACCAATTTATTTAAAAACTTGTTACCGAAAGCGCGCGGGATTAGCGCCGGACCCTGCCCCTCACTGCTCCGCCTCACCTGACATGTTATTGCATCATCGAGTACCGAGCAAATTGCTGGCACATGCTTATGTTTTGACTATTTTTGTGAGAAAAAAAGTATTTCGTTGTGTCATTTTTAGTGAAAATTTATAATTATATGATAAAAATGAGTGTCGAATGGAGTCTACTATTGGGACTTATTTAAGAGAAACTGACGACCAAAGTAAAGTGAAATGTACTGATGTATACGTAATATTTTTTTGTTTGATTCCAAAAACATTTTATCAATCTTTCTATTTGCTATAATCGGAAAATAAATCTACAGTGCCTCAAAAACATGACGCTATACAAGTAGATTTAATACATATATAAAATATACTTTCAACAGTAAAATCGTGAAAGACATGGCATTACTCAATTCGTACATTTCAGTACAGTAAACACTTTGAGTGCCACTTTAACTAATGTTCGGTGATTAGCCGAATATTCGGCCGAATACGAACATTCGGTAAAGCTGCCGAATATGCCGAATACCAAATACAAAACGAATATTCGGCCCATCTCTAAATATTATGTTCTGAAGAATGTTGAGAACTATTTTTTGAAATATCCCGATCGGAAGCGATATATTCCGAAACGTTAGGAGAAAATGGTTATTTTCTACTAGATGAGGTGGAGGAAACTGGATAATAATTTACCAGCGCATTTTCCCGTACTGAGTTGTATGTTATTTTTAAATGAAAATAAGCTTTCACCGCGTTACATAAAATAGCTATTATCTTATGGTGGAGTAATTTTCTGGGCAGCATGGTCGTCTGCCTTGGACGAAGTCGAAGCTTCCTCTTGATCTAAAATATAAAGAACCGATTATAACAAAGTTCACCTTAGCACGCATTTACATCTGGCGAGGAGCATCGGAGCGCAATTCACATGCATAAGCGATCACGTGTAAACGTGTTTTCGCGCCAAACCTGAACCGAGTAAATCGACAAAATACTTGACTCGGTAATAAATAACAAATCCGAGTAAAACTCTGTATTTGGTCACTCTGTACAAAATTAACTCGGTACATCTTTAATTTGAACTGATTGAACGCCTCCAATGCACTTAATAGGTATCTAATTATTGCTAACGCTGACAACATACATTAAAATACACCACCAGTTGAAATTCCACTTAATGATAAAGCCAAATTTAAAATATTTTGGCTGTGTTTCATTTTATTATGGTTTTACTCTATAAAAGCCGAAATAGTCAGCATGTACCCTTCTCACTTCTTTAACTTGTCATAACACGATAAAAACTAACGTAAATATCCGCGCAACAACATTGTAAGTCAACATTAGATGCAGTAGCATTACGTTTTATGCCCATAAACCCCAATTATGTCATGTACAAAGATTGTATACTGGTTGTTACAAAACTACCCGTAAAGCCGAAAGGAGGTTAAATGGGGCCTTATAACGAGTCCATTCACAATATTTTAAGAACCGTAGTATAGCTGTATAACATACTCCAAAAAAATAAAAAATATTACTATTTTCACTCATGTGAAAACCCTATTTAAGTAAAATTAAAGAGTAAACTACGCAGAATGTCGTTGAACATTTCTACCTAACTCGCGGAACGACTAAAATTTTATAAGACATAACATAACGAAACAACCTAAACGAACACTTGCTTTCTCATAATAAACATCAAATTTACAGAAACTGCTCAAAGTGTCTTCCGCCTTACTCAATACACAACCTCGCTCGTCGGGATATGGCTTGTGTGGCATTTCGCACCATCGTCGGTGTTAATGATGCGGAAACCGATCTAAAAGGTGTTCCATCTCGGCAACCGCTGGGAAATCGGAGAAATACACTCTGTCCTGCACATAACCCCACAAAAAGAAGTCCAAGGGTGTGAGGTCCGAAGAACGAGCGCAGGCCATAGCACCGGTACTCCGCGGCCGATCCTCGCGGAAAACGAACGTTAAGATGTTCTCGTAGGTTGCGAGCAAAATGTGCCGGAGCTCCATCATGCTGAAACACCATGTTTCTTTGGTTCTCAAAGTAATCCCAGTCAGTCATAGGAAAGTCGTTAATCGTCTCTTCAAATTCCGTTTGTAAAAACGTTAGATAGTTGCTACCATTCAAACGTGATGGCATAATGACGGGACCGATGACATGCCCGTCATAAAGGCCAGCCCACACATTCAGCCGCTACTGGTGTTGGAATCTGCCCTGTCGTGAAGCATGTGGATTCACGCGAGTCCAAACGTGATCGTTATGCATATTTGAAACTCCTGACTTCGTGAATGTAGGCAACATTCACGAAGTCAGGACGTTAGTTTATTAGTAACATAGTTTACGTAATTAGGGTTTTCCTCTAATTGCTTGAGGTACCACTCGCAGAAGTTCCTCCTGGGTGCAAAATCGGAGCGTAAGGGTGACGATTGTCGTCACGAAGAATTCAGCAAACTGCAACATGGTTTATACCGAATCTTGTACCGGCTCGCCTCGTACTTGTGTTCGACTCTTCTTTCAAAATGCTCTAACACTATTTCAGCCTACTTGGTGTCGACTGTGCTTGGACTTTCACTTCCAGTAGACCGATGAAAAGAGCCGGTGGAATGTAATCGTCTTGACATGTTCAGAACACACTGGACTGACTGAACAGCGACGGCTGCCTTCGTAGGTAGCCGTCGCTGTTCAGTGGGGGGTCAACCATCGATAAATCGTTGCTGATGCCGCGAACTGTTCGCGAGCACGATTTAAATTGCTATCTTCATGGCTTACGCATAACATCATATCGTAATATTCCTAATTAGAAAGCATCGTATTTGCAAAAGATGTTGGAAAAAAAAACTCGAAACAGTTGTAAGATATCGATTAGAAGATTTGAAATTGACAACATATTTTTTTTACAACTTGACATTTTTGAAGCAAACATTTATAAATGAAAAATAGAAAAACTATTAAAGTAGACAATTATTAGGTAAAAAGGTACGGAGGCCTTTCTGCCGGGCTAGCATGAGCAGGGGATAAAAATTTTATCCACCGATTATATCCACTGACAAGGGATAAAATTGTCTTATCCCTATGTCAAAGCTTTATCCACCCTCCGAGCATGGGCCTATGGTGGATATAATATCGACAGTAGATAAACTTATCCCCGCGCATAGATAATATACCATAGTATAAAGCTATAAACTATACTAGCTATAAACTAGTTTTAAGAGTAAGTAGATTTACATTAACTTATAATTTCTTTTACCTTTTGTTTATTATATTGCTAAACTGTTCATAATTTTTTGTTAAACAATATGTCATTTATAATATTTGTTATATTTATTTTAAGCGTATTTCTGCCTTGTTTTTATTTTTTCTATTATTCCAATTCTTTCTTTATTTTCTTTTGTATAATATTTAAGTTAAATATACATTGCTTGTATCAAATCGCAGGTATTACTTCGCTTGTGATACCATTTATTAACAAATATGTGTTTAGAATTAAGCCAATTGTGAAACTGGACAATACAGACCCTTTGGAGGTGCTGTAACCTCTTGAAGAAATTAAAAAAAATATATCCCTGCAATTACTGCCATTATAAGAAAATTACAAAATACATCAAAATTGATGTCTACTCTAAGTCACAAAGATTTAATTTTAATTGAAAATGATAATAAAAATGTAATGATTTCAAATAAAACAAGGAATAAATAATTTTATAATCATTAGTATAGTATATTTAGCAAGCTTTGCTAAATAATTAACATATTTCTTAATTTAAAACTTTGAATTGTAACTTTACTAAGTTTGATAACTTTATTTTAAAACGTTATAATACTTACCTAAAATATGGTATAGACCGATTCTATTATCATTAAATTTGACTTGACCTTGGACTCGCCTTGTGTATTGTTGACACAACCTATGTAATTAAATCATGGCATTGAGCTATTGAGACTTTTGGACAAGGTGGTTGTAATAGATGCTTACTTCAATATGCACTGGTAGTCCATCCACAGAATTAATAGGCTTTAAAGCCTCATAGAGTTCTTTACACAAATACAAAACAATCTTTGAGCATCTGAAACCGGCGTAGAAATTCGTTGTCGGAGAATTCCAATAGATTAAGTATTCTGATCACGTATCGATCGCTCATGTAATTCTCTTTCTTGTTTTTCAATTTCTGACACGAAAATGTAGTTGCAATAGGCTCAAGACATCTTTTTTGTATTAAAATGGTTTGAAGATAAACTTAAACCCACGTCCGCGAAAGAGGATAAAATTGTCCCTTTCAAATGTCAAAAAGGGATAATTTTTTTCTCTTTCCCTTGGCCTCATGCTACGGACGGGGAGATATATGTCCACTCTTTATGTCAAACGGGGATATACTATAGAGATAAGATAATTTTATCTCTTGTCAGTGGATATAATCGGGGGATATAATTTTTGTCTCTTGCCCATGCTCGCAGGGTGGATAAAACTAAGCAAGGGATAAAAATTATATCCTCTCTCCGGGGATATATTCTCTCCGGCTCATGCTAGACCGGCTGTTAAATAATCTGGTTCCCTGACATGACAGCTTACTAGGGTTGACAAAATTTTTGGCTTTAATAATTAAATATATTATATACGGGGTATTTTGTAACACGTTTTATAATGTTACAATGTTGTAGTTGATTGACTTGCTACTCATAATATTTTTGCAACCATATTGTTGAAAAAAATATTTTTTTGTTATGTTACAATACTTTGACATTTGTATATTTTAAAAACGAGTGGGAGCACAATTACAATGATTGTGCAGAAAAATTGTATATTTTTTTTACATGGCAATGTCATTGTAGCCCAATTTACGGAAAAAATGAGTAACGATGTTATTGCATGGAGGTGCCGAAGTAGTCTAACGAAGCGAGATCCTTAGAAGGCTCGTCATTGTTGTAGAAGTGTGGACTCACCAGCGGCAGCCAGCTGCTTGGTGACCTCGTCGCTCATGGCGTTCTTGATGACGTCACCGCCGTCGTCGTACGCCGAGCCGGCCGGCGACGACGCGCACTCGTCCTCGTCCTCCGAGCCGCCGCTCATCCCGCACCCGTCCACCTGGGACATCTCCTGCGGAACAACCGTTACCGTTACATCATAGGGGGAATATTTGCCATTATTACCACAATGTGCAAGCGGTATGGCAATTGTAGTTTTTTGTTTTTTATAGTCGTTATTAGGAAGACACCGCTGCCCATCTGATTCGTTTCCCTCTGTCGCCTCTTACGACACCCACGGGAAGATATGGGGTAGTGGATACTCTTACACCGCCACCACACGGTAACTGCAGAACAAAATTCTTTCGTAATGATTATTTATGTTTACGCGAACTGACATAACATGCAAGGTAAAATCAAGAACAGCGACTGTTCCCAATTGTCGATAGAATAGACTTACAGGAGATGCAACGTGGGTCTGTCTGTCAGTCTGTGCAATGGCATAAAAAGGGATTACACCCCCACCACCCACCCACCCCCGAGAAGTTCAAAGTTACTCCATCGGCCGGTAAAATCATGGCCATAGTATTTTAGGATTCCGAAGGAATACTATTAATTGAACTGTAAATGAGCATTTTCCAGACCAAGACGAAGAATATTTTTTCAAGGAAATAGAAAAGTTTTTTTCACGAACAAGTATGTTTAGCTTAGCAATGAGTTATAGCGCTGATGGCCGCGGATTGGAATCCCGCACGGACAAGTATTTGGATGGCCTACAAGTAATTGTTCCGGGTCTGGATATTTGTCCTTGTGCAATTTATGTATGTAAACTGCCTCCACGATACAGGAGAAAATCCTAATGTGGGGTAACCGTTTAATAAAAAAAAATGGAGTAAATGTATTGGTGTCATGGGAGACTATACAGAAAATTAAAAATATTTCATTATTTTATCTTTTTTCTAACACCCATACCGAGAATACATTGAACGCACCTCGTAGCAACATGTAGTGCCCACTAGAGCAGCGCGCTGGATTGTCGACCTATAAGAAACCTAACCTATAAGAAATTAGAGAAAACTCTTCTTCTGCAGAGGGTTGTATATAGACAGCTAACATTGTAGAATAGTACCTTTGTCACAGAGTATTTCGAAGTTAAAATTTATTTATTTATTTAAGAAATACATATCATGCTATGAATAAGCACCTCTTCAGCCATGTCCATGGACTCGGTGCTGACAGCGGAATTCATATTGCCGTAATCTGTGTCACCGTCGTCTTCACGGCAGTTCACCTCCTGGACCATTGGATAGCCCGATGGCCTGACAGCTTGCGCAATCTTCTTGTATATCAAGTTTCACTGGTTTTGATAAAGTTACCTGTGAAGTAGTAAGAGTTAGTTAGAATTATTAAAATATTACTTAACTTTATTTATAGGTAGTCGTATAGTGGTAATGTATAATAATTTATCGCCCGATTTCATACTGTAGGTAGCGTAATAAATGACTATGACAAAGGCCAGAAAGGCGTCGTGAACTACATATATGACGGTATCGGTATACCTGTAATGAGGGTACATTAAATACATAAGTGATTAATTGTAAAAGGCTCGTCGAACAGTCACGAATAAACCGTCAATCCGCTTACCCGTGTCTTATTTACGAAATACACTACAGTGGCGACGAGGATTAAGTTGTTTTTATTTTTCGGTAAATTACGTGGACGCATATATTAAATATAATGTCAATCGGCAAAGTGAGTGAATTCAACGTCAAAACAGGAAACTGGACTTTATACGTGGAGAGACTAGAAATGTACTTTACGGTAAATGCAGTGAAAAACGAAATGTGGTTGCCGACATTAATCGCCGGTATGGGAGACGAAGCGTACGAATTATTAAGTAATTTAACAAGTCCGATTAAACCGGGAGATAAATCGTATCAAGAAGTGGTTAAAATACTTCGGGAACATCTTCAACCGAAACCCTCGTTCATGGCGGAGCGATATCGTTTTCGACAAAGAAGACAGTTGAACGGAGAAACGATTCCGCAGTATATAACCGAACTTAAGAAATTGTCGAAATACTGCGAGTTTCATTCAACTCTAGAGGACAATTTAAGGGATCAATTGGTGTGTGGGCTAAGAAGTGATGTCATCCGTCAACGATTATTCGCAGAAGATAATCTGAAATATTCCTTAGCCGTGAAAATAGCTTGCGCTTTAGAGGCGGCGGAGCGGGATTCGGCCGCGGTGGAGCAGGCGGGCGGCGGCGACGGGCTCGGCGGTAGCGGCGCGGACAGCGCCTTGCATGCGGTGACGTCATCGACAAGCCGCGCTCGAACGCGGGAGCAGGACAGCGCACCGAGGGCTTTTAAAGGTCGAGAACATGGCGGCGGCAATGCGCTATATTGCAGAGCGTGCGGGTCGAGGTACCACCGAAGTGATGATTGCCGCTATAAGAAATTCGTGTGTGGTAAATGCAAACAGAGCGGCCATCTACGCCGGGTATGTCCCAAACGAGGGGAGTACACGGGAAATGCGGGCTCCCGACGCCACATGTACCATGTGGAGGCGGCAGAGTGCGAGACACCGTCAGCGGACGACGAGCCACCATCCGTGGAAAGTCAAACGGAGTTACAGGAGGATCTACACCATCTATGTTTAAATAGCTATAAACCGGTGAGCCTAACATTATTATTAGACGGATTTAAACTTAATATGGAAATTGATACCGGGTCGGCAGTGTCTTGTATAAGTAAAGCGACTTATAATAAATATTTTTACACTAGACCTATGGACAAGTTCGATCTGGTTCTAAAATTTTATGATGGAAGTCGAATCAAACCTTTAGGCATCATCAAGCCCGAAGTTAGATATGGAAATATAACAAAGCACTTAGAACTGTTTGTAATAGATGGGGGCACGACTTCATTGTTGGGTAGACAGTGGCTGTCGGAACTGCAAATTAAAATTCCGACATTCCACAGCATGGTGCTGGATGACCATTTTAATAACAATAATTTGTCATTATTATTCGACAGATATAACAAGTTGTTTTCCGGCGGCTTGGGGCGGTTCGCGGGCGGCAAGGCGACGCTGCGAGTCCGGGAAGGGGCGACACCGGTGTTCTGCCGCGCACGACCTTTGCCCTACGCGCTCAAGGACCGCGTGGATGCTGAGCTGGATGCGATGCTTCGGGAGGGGGTTATTGAACCCGTGGAGAGCTCTGACTGGGCTACACCTCTGGTGCCGGTACGTAAGGCGGATGGTGGGCTCCGAATTTGTGCTGACTATAAAGTGACGCTCAACCCGGTATTGCTGGTCGATAGATTTCCCTTGCCTAGGATTAATGATTTGTTAGTAGGTATGAATGGCGCTAGAATATTCTCTAAAATCGATCTGTCACAAGCCTACAATCAGATCGAACTAGATAACTCTAAAAACCTTACCGTTATAAATACACATAGGGGCTTATTTACGTATAACAGGCTAGTATATGGGTTGTCATCAAGTCCAGGAATTTTCCAGCGTATAATGTCAAATCTTTTTCACGATATCGAAAAGGTAGAAGTATTTTTAGACGATATAATAATAGGTTCTTCTAATGAAAGAGAGCATTTACAAATATTGGAGAAGGTGCTTAGTAGATTACATAAAAACGGAATGAAGCTGAGGAAAGACAAATGTTTATTCATGGTGGACGAGGTCAAGTATTTAGGGTATATTATTTCAAAAGATGGCATTAAAGTTGATCCTGACAAGGTAGCTGCTATAGTAAAAATTCCGCGCCCCAAGGACGTTTCGGACTTAAGATCATTTTTAGGATTAGTCAATTTTTACGCTAAGTTCATTAAAAATTTAAGTACTACCTTAGCCCCACTTTACCGCTTATTAAAAAAGGGTGTTACTTGGGACTGGGACAGAAGTTGCGAGGATTCTTTTAAAAAAAATTAAAAAAAATCTTAACCAGTGCTGAAGTATTATTGCATTACGATCAAAACAAACCGTTAATACTGACGTGTGACGCTAGCGCTCGAGGTATAGGAGGCGTGCTCACTCAGCCGTGCGCCGGCGCAGCGGGAAGCGAGCGGCCGGTGGTCTATGTGTCGAGAGCTCTCAGCGACGCGGAGAAACATTATTCACAAATTGATCGCGAGGCTTTAGCAATTGTTTTTTGCTTAAAAAAATTGCATCAATACCTGTATGGTCGACGGTTCACCTTACGTACTGATCACAAGCCGCTTGTCAGTATTTTTGGCCCAAAACATGGCATTCCTTTAATGGCTGCGAGCCGATTGCAGCGTTGGGCGATTACGGTATCCGCTTACTCTTATAACATAGAGTACGTTAGTAGTAAACAGAACTGTGCGGACGGCTTATCTCGTCTACCGGTATCGGTTCAATCCACAAAGAACGAATGTTTAGAATTACCTGAACAAACGTATTTACATTTCGCTCAAAGTGAAATGTTACTGGATTATAATGAAATTAAAAAACAAACCCAGCGCGATCCGATTTTAGGTAGAATTATACTATACTTAAGAGAAGATTGGCCCACCGATAATGAGGTCAAATCATTGCAACCGTATTTTAACCGAAAAAAGGAACTATACGAAGAACTAGGGTGCATCATGTGGGGTCATAGAGTAGTCATACCGGAGAATTGCAGGGGTAGGGTGTTAAACGAACTCCACGAATGCCACATGGGAATCGTCAAAACGAAGGCGGTAGCTCGAAGCTATGTGTGGTGGCCGGGGATCGATGAGGCAATCGAAACGATGTGCCGAGCGTGCGTCGTGTGTGCGGCCGAGGCGGACGCGCCCCAACGGCACACTCCAAGCCCGTGGCCATGGCCAGCTAAGCCTTGGTCTCGTATACATATAGATTTTTTAGGGCCAATTTTCAATAAAATTTACTTGGTAATAATTGATGCCAGAACTAAATGGCTAGAGGTGTTTTATGTACCGAGTACAGCAGCTAGCCACACTATAGTTAAACTTTCCGAAGTTTTTGCTAGGTGGGGTCTACCTAAACAATTAGTATCAGACAATGGGCCGCCATTTACCAGTAGGGAATTTTCTCAGTTTTTAACAAATAATGGTATACAACATGTTTTCACCGCACCGTACCACCCGGCTTCAAACGGTGCCGCGGAAAACGCAGTACGCACTGTCAAGAAAGTTATTAAAAAGGCAGTGAGGGAAAATAAAGATATAAATTTATTTTTAAACACTTTCCTATTGCATTATCGAAATACCGAACATTGTACTACGGGCGAAAGTCCCGCTTCTCTCATGTTAGGAAGAAGATTACGTACTAAACTAGACATACTTAGACCGGATATTGAGAATAAAATTATTAAAACTCAAATAAACCAGAAAGAGAACGCTCCCACTGGTGAACGTGGCCTGCAGCCGGGTGATGATGTATGGCTTCGCCAATATCAGGGGAGCGACAAGTGGGTAGCCGGACAAGTGACGCAACGTTTGGGCGTAACGGACTACAAAGTTTTAGACACCATAGGTAAGGAGTCACATAAGCATATCGACCAGCTAAAACGTAGAATTAGTAGTTCACTGATTTATCCCCGTAGTAGTAATAGTCAGCCAAATTCGAGTTCCGAGTCTTTGTCTTGCTCCGGTGCAGAGGAAATTAATGCGCCTAGAATAAACCCTGCCATAACAGACACCGGGAGGAAATCACAAGCACCGGAGGGAACTGAAATAATAGATAAGAGTGATTGCTTAGATACGGCAAGGGAAACGTCAACACTTCGTGCTCCATCACCTCATACGTCGCCTGTGCCGTCCGCAACGCCGCCCCAGGTCTTCCGGCCGGTACGCAAGTGCCGTTTGGATAACCCCCCCCGCTATAAAGAGTAGTTACCATCACACTATATTATTTTTATATACTTCTTTTTTTTTAAATATTTTTTTTCCTTTCCTGTATAACAGTATAGTATAAAATACTTATATGTATAACTAATTGTAAGTCTTAATTAAGGGGGGGAGGATTGTAATGAGGGTACATTAAATACATAAGTGATTAATTGTAAAAGGCTCGTCGAACAGTCACGAATAAACCGTCAATCCGCTTACCCGTGTCTTATTTACGAAATACACTACAATACCATCACGTATATGACAAAAAAAGTATCAAAGGTGCGAAACATCCAGTAGGTGCTGCTCTCGTCAATCTGTTATCCAAGTAGTAGAAGAGCTGCTTCAATACGTCCCCGCAGGCCGAGGAGAAATGAGTTAGCACTTCGTACTATGAACTGTAGTAAGATTTCAAAGGACTTAAACATAGTATGTCCTCTCTCGACGACGATATACATACGATTTTTCGGCTACTACAAAACTACAAATGGTAAAGTTCA